TATGGTGAATCGAATGCCCTAGTCTCCAAACCTGTGTTTTAACTTTCAAAACCACCCTTTGTTACTTTTGTTTACTTGCTTTCCGTTGCAATTTCAGTTTGTTCATTTCTTTCTATAATCACAAGCATTCTCACTTCAAAGTTCATTTTAATCTTGCTGCATTTGTTTTCAAACTCACTCTTGCTTTAAATTCTGTTTTAGATTTAACTTCCTAACTTCTTGAATTTGGTAATCTAAAGTACATAACTAATTTGAACTTCTCAGTCTTCGTGGGTACGACCTCGTACTTGTCTTGCTATACTACTAATTGCCCCGTACAATTGCGAGTTAACATATTATTAACAACATAGACTCTCCGAAAACTGGCGTGCTAGTCAAATTGCCATATCATCTACGTGCCAAAGAGTACCCAGAATTCATGGAAAAACTTGACAGACCCACCTATAAGTCGAAAGGTGTGATCGGGAAGCTTTTCCAACAGGTGAACGATCATGTTGAGCTTGTATCTCATTTATATTCAAGCTCTGCTAAGTCCTTCACCATGGAAGTGGCTTGGAAGTGTTATGACCCTGACATGACGGTAGATGGGTTTGAGGTCTACATCAATGAGGCCATCAATTACAAAAGGGAGTACGACTACAAGCTGGGAAACCTGATGGAATATTACGGCATCAAAAGTGAAGCAGAAATACTAAGTGGGAATATCACTCAAACATCCAAATACTTCAATAGAAGAAAGGACTTTAAAGAAAATATTGGTCACGCTGTAAGGTCATTGAAGACAGAAGCTAGGGGCTGGTTTCATGAGAAGCAGGGAAGTGATATTCAGTCGAATGTCAGCATCAACAGTGATGATGCATATGCAGCAAAAGCATCAGCTTGGTACCATGTTACATATCATCCTCATTACTTCGGTTGCTACAACGAGGGAATGGCAAGGGAGCATTTCCTCAGCTTTCCATGGTGTGTCTTTGACAAGCTCATCCAGATCAAGAGGGATAAAAGAAGTATCAAAACTTCTTTACATATGTTATCACCGACGTGCCATTCAACTTGAGAAAGTGAGTGTTTGTTTGGAAATTTGAAAGATACTCTTAGCTGTTGTGTTTTCCCTCATAAACTTAAGTGTGTTATGAATGTGGTTATGTTTTCTGTAAGCAACTATAGTATGTAAATAATAAATATGGGTGTGATTACTTTTTTAGAGTGATATGTAACTGCTGCAGATCATTTAGAATGTGTTTCTCTCATTCATCCAAGGCATAAGGCATTCCTCTGCCGTCCCAGAGGGATGAGCAAGCTGCCATGCATTTTGTTTTTCTTGCTTCCAAGTAAATTAAAGAACACACATTAGAATTTTAAGTTTTATAACAATCTTTTTGGTGCTGGAACAATTTAAGTTTCAATGAAGGTTTGGTTAAGTTTTTTTAATGAAAACAACCTGTATTTGCTCCCACTAGACTTTGTGAGAATTAAGTATATTTCCATGATAGGCATTTCTTGCAAACAACTCCAAAGAGGAACTAATAAATAACTCGTGTATATCAGCACAAACGTGTGATTAAATGAGACAGTTGATACCTAGTTTAGTCATGGCATTTTCAGCTGCTAGTGCATAGACACAGCTTCTCAGTTTTCCTCGGCCAAAACTACGTCATTGTTAGTTGAGAGTGTACTGCCACATGTATACGATAATATGAGCTCCTGTCAGGCAGGCATATGCCGAGAGTGTAAATCTTCAATTTGAGTAGCCCCTTAATGAGGTAATACTACAACACTGTCATATAGTAAAGCTTTAAGTCAATGGTGAAATTTATTTTGCTCAATAAAGTAAAGGTTTTAAGGCATACAACTGATACACATGGTACCAAGGGAGCATTTCATGTTCCATTTATAACTGGACTGAAGTGTGAATGCCACAAAGTTCCAACAGTGAGACACTAAACTGTGGAATCTAGTGTCAAACATCCACATACGTTGGGGAAAAAAGACACGACACTGAATTGAAGTCACATTTATTCCTAAATGTAGAGAGAAAAAGATTTGAAACAAGATACTGAAACCAAATTCAGCAAAGATGGATCAGTGGCGCTTCTTCCCTGTTGCTAGTTCCCAAGCCTGTAATACGTGGTTCACGATTTCCTCTACTCCATGCCCATGCTTCACCTGCACAGGTACGGTTCACTAACATATAAATCATGAACGTGAAAATTTCAAGAACAGACCTACAAAGACAAATCATGAAGAATTGCCTTTCTGGTACAGTTTGAAACTCAACATTCCTAACATGATGGATTGGGAAGTGGGGACAGGGTCACAGGCAAATACAGCTTGTATGACATTTCACGTTGAGCAAATTTTATGCAAACACAATACATTACTGTAATAGTACTACTCCAAATATGAAAGTACAAATATCAAGTTCCCATCGTGTTCACAATGTAAAAATGCTAGTGATTGAATTAATGGTATAACCAACCAACCTGAGCAAAGACAAATGGCCCTCCATCTCGCATTCGAAGTGAATCACGTTCCATTACTGCCAAATCAGCTCCAACTGCTGGTGCAAGGTCGGTCTTGTTGATCACCTACAATCAAATGTTATGGCGTCATTCACATACAAATCCCTGAAATTGGTACACATGACAGATATGGTATCCACAACAACAGCTGTAGCAAGGAATATCAGAAAGCACATACTAGGAGGTCAGCTTGGGTGATTCCAGGGCCACCTTTTCGTGGAATTTTATCACCACCAGATACATCTATTATGTAAATGATATAGTCAGCCAGTTCCCGACTGAAGTTCGCAGCTAAATTATCTGCACCAGCACAAACTCAATTGGATAGTATTTCCTAAAGAATAATAAGAAAATGTATAAGAAAGCTCGATTCAGCCAATGGCTGATTGTTGACATACAAACGTTCCAATTCATGCAACTGTACAATAAGCATTTCTGCCCCAACTTAATCTTTAGAAAGCTTTGCATTCATCAAACCGCATTTTTCTTTCATACCTAATTCCAGATAACTCCATAAAGCCATTTTTTTCAAGTTTATTAATGCAGTTCCATTGCAACCCTCATCACCATTAGTCATTTGTAATAATCCAACTTAAATGATCAAGTCATATCAGCTGAACATAAGCCATGACCAGTCATCTAATTGCTTCTGAAAAATACCTCCGCCTGATTCACAAAGTAGTATGTCTGTCTTGTACAAGTTAGAAAGCTCCTCAAGAGGGCCTAGATTAATGCTGATGTCTTCACGAATTGCAGCATGCGGGCATCCCCCAGTTTCAACAGCACGTATTCTTTCTCCAGGAAGTGCCCCGTGTTTCACCAAGAACTCACCATCCTCTTTTGTGAATATATCATTTGTCACCTGCAATTGTTACACATATTATCTTTCGTCATGCAAGGTTTTACATCCTACATCAAGCTTATCTTTAGCCTTGCCTCAATCAACTTAAAACACAGGCTTTAAGGTCTTTGCATACATTAGAAAATGATATGCAAGGCTATAATATGATGTTACAAAAGTTTTTGAAGTATTTAGGACACCATAAAGATATAGCCAATTAAACCTTTGAAATTCTATAAAATAGTAAATAATAAAAGTTACTCACAGCAGCAAGACTGTACTTGTCACGCAAAAGCTTACACAGAGCCAGCATCAAAGCGGTTTTCCTGTATGGCATGAAGCAGCATTTCATCAACTCTCACTAAATAGTTTGATTCATGCTAGCAATGCGATCTTCACGACTAAGAAAAGTAATCCAGGCACGAATTTTGAATCAGGAAAAACTCAAAGCCATTCAAAATGAATCAAACTAAGATATCAATAGCTTATGCTGTACAATAAGGATGTTTTATGTTACTTGTACACTATCCAAACAACTGAACAATTTCCAGGGAAAATCTGGGGAAAATAATAGAACCCCCATTGGTGAAATTGAGAAAAGATATGCACAAAACAGATGAGTCAAAAAAAAAGTGAGGAGATTGTAACAGGCACACTACTCAATCAACAAAGAGAAAATCTGAGCTACCCACTAAATAGTAGATCCCTAATAACCCATAAGCTGAATTATGATAAAAGTAAAGTGTCAACATTTAAATCATTCATTTCTTACTCTTTTTAAGCTAATGATACAAATTTATGATTGTGATATTATTTTCAATAATGCAAAAATAGAATATAAATTAATTAAAGGGAGACAGAGGAGATACCCACTTACCCAGTACCAACTGGTCCACCAATGCCAATAGTAAAAGCCCTTTCACTGAAATTCCTGGTAAGAAGAGGTGGAGCTCTTCTGCTGAAGTAGCCAGGGGAGTATATGGGTTCGTGCGAGTGTGGCGCCAGCCCATCATGGCTATGGTACACCTTCCCATCTGGGCCTACCCATGAATTTGTTCCTGAACTCCCATGGCTATGATCATGCTCATGATCATGATCATGATGGTGGTGATGTTCATGGCCTTGGTTGTGGTGGTCATGATCATGATGGTGATCAGCCATTGACCCTGCAGTCTGCAGAAGTTCTACTCTGGTTCAAGAAGAGCGCAGGAAGAAAGAGGTATCTGGTTGGGTTGATTGGCCATATGCATTCACTCTACATTATAAGATAACTGGCTATTAATTTACCAAAACACCCTTAGTTAATAATTTAAATTGTTAAAGAGCACTAAGAACACTGTGTTGGGATTTAGCCAAGTGGGAAGCATCTTGACTTGCAGATTTGGTGTTAAATTTGAAGTTTGAACCACATGACACTTTGTGGGTGTGTAAGAAAATTCTCTTTTTCAATATCGCTTGTATAAAAAATAATAATAATAATTTTGCATTAATAATTTAATCGTTGTTATCGTCACATTGAAAAATTATTTGAAGATTTCTATAATTAGAATTAAATTAAAGTCCAGTACCACAGTTGAAACAATCCTGATAATTTACCTTCATATTGTAATATGTTTACAGACTATATATATTTGATATTCTCATACAAGTACTATATATTTATATTATCTGCATAACTTCTCCATTGTCCCATCTAATATTAATGGTCCAAATGTCCACACCCAAAAAAAAAAAGTTTAATAAGGTGTGCCCTGTCATCATCCACTTTTTATGCATGCCCTCCATCATTGTATCTTCTGTAAAGAAAAAAAAAACCACCCAGTTGCATAGAGGGCATGCATAAAAATAAATAAATAAATAGATAAAACAAAATGAGCACTCACAAAGAAAGGGAAAAAGAAAGATGGACAGACACAGACTAAAAGGTGATTTTTTTTAAAAAAGAAAAAAAGAAACCCATGTTAGTCAAACAAGTTCTTGAGTGCATTGTGTTTGCCACATGGCTGCTGAGGCAGCAGCTCCTTTCGGTTTTGCCTTTGAACATTTTCTTGATCTTGAGTGATTGGTTCAAGATTGCCTAAAATCACTCCTTGCTTTTTTATGTACTCCCTTTTGTCTTGGATTAGATAATAGACAGCAATGAAAGACACTTCAGCTGTGAAAAGGAGAGTCCAAAGCCCTGGGCTTCTCTGTGTTCTCTTATGGTAGGCATTTAAACCAGTGTATATGTTGATGATCCCAACCATTGATATTAGGGTTCCAAGCATCCAATGCACCATGTACCAAAAACTTCTCTCTTTCTTTCCCCTACATATAAAAGAAAATTAAACTCTGTTTTACTCAACCCTCCAATTTTATATTGCTAGCTAGTTGATGAACTATTTGTACCTGTGAGGCCTGAAAAATCCTATCAAGGCTTGCACCCAGATGGCACCATAAAGTGCTAGACCTAATCTTTGGTGGTTGTTGTTGAATGAGTTCTCAAAGTTTTTGAGGGACATGACAGCTCCAGCTGTGGCAAGAAGCACTGAGAGCATCTGTTTATAGATGAAAAATCAGAAGCCATCATCATATACAATAGCTGATGGATTAACATGCCTAAATTATTGTGACAGTACTGTAATTATGGGGGTATGTATGGTGTAGCAGAGACAAACTGTTATATAAAATAGAAATTATGGCAAGTTTAACTTGCAAACTTAATCAAGGGGTAAGTACATAAAAAACTGATTAGCGTTGAGTTGTAGGAGATCAATTCATGAGTTTAAGTACAAAGAGAAACACTTACTATTCTTCATGTTCAAGTAATCATACATGATTATTGGCAAATATGGTTGTGTTTGTTCTTAAACTATAAAATAATTAAAAGGGTTAAGATATAAGTTAATAAAGAAAACAAAGAGTGGACAGCATCATTAAAGTTAAAGTGGGCTATGATGATGATTGAGAACAAAGATCAAACTTGAAAGAGTATTGATCATGTAACTCAGAATTATGGTATTAATTCAGTGGTAATGGAAAATTAGTGTTCTTAGATAATATCCGAAACCGGTCTAAGAATTAAGGAAGAAAGAAAAGAAATGAAGAAGAGCTTGCCTGCAAAATAACATGGAGATAGAAGAGAACTCTGGCCCTTGTCGTCCCACGTTCTTCTCTAACAGACATTCTGATGATAAGAATTCCAACAGGCATTAAGAACCCCATTGAAAACCATGAGAGAAGCCCATGAACTGTGACATTGGATGTCATCTGAGGACTCAACTGCAAAAGGACAACCCGAGTAGCAGAAGAAGAAATTAAGAAGAAGGTGATCAGAAGAACAAGAAAATATTCATCCAAAAAAGGCTGAAGAGAAACAAAACTAATTTACCTTGTGAGAGTGTTCTTCTGTGCTCTTATCGTTGGGTTGGTTGCCCTCTTCATGATATGAACAGCCAACTAAGGGTAGAAGAAGAACATAACATGTAGAAATAGCCAAAGATGGTAGCTTGAGAGAAGTTTGCATTCTTGTGTTTGTGAGGGTGAAACAAGGCCAAGAGAAGAAGAGAATCAAAGCCTTCAATTTACTCTCTCTACACTGCTAGTTTTCAGTTTCTCATCATTCTTTTGTGGCTTTTGGATGGCTTTTGGGATAATTTGGAGAGGGAAAAGGTTACATATATGTGTAGCTTTTCAAGGATTTGCTTTGTAGGAGACAATGTGGTATGATTAATTAGTGACTGCAAAAAAAGAGATTTACCATTGATGCTGTAATAGACATAAGATTGGTGGCATGGGGCACTTACATGGATGGTTGTTAGAGTGAGAGAGAAGATATAGATAAAGAATTAGAAAGAGAGAGAGAGGGAAAACAAAAACAAAAACAAAAGGTGGTCTTGGAGGGTATGATTTGAAGGTTAGGTGGATAAAAGTTTCAAAAACTTTCATCAAAGTGAAAGTAGGGTTGACATCGCGGGACTTTCTGGTTTTTATTTACAAATTACAAAACGCAAAGAAAAGGGCCAAACTTTCAATCGGTGGAGAGCTTGAAGTAGTTCATGGATGCATAATAGGGAAAAGAGATGCAGCTGTTTTATGTGGCAATGTAGCTAACTCAGTTGTATCTGTTTAGCTTCATATGTATTGTCTGATTTTGCCTCGCTCGCTTGTTCCTTTGTGACATTTGGGTTTGGCGTTTAAATGTGTTTCTTTTAAATTTCTATACACATGCATGGGGGTTGGCTTTGGACAAAGGAAAAAACCAGTGGCAGACGAAAAGGTGATGGTGACAAAAATCACTCGCTAAGTTTCAGATATAAAATCTCATGTTCATACCAATGAAAATGATTACTTCTCGTAAAAGATGGATTTTTGGTTAATAATTCCATGGAGGAGGATAAACAAGTGACAGTTCATAATCATACCATTGCTATTGCCTTTGGATCCTTTATAAACAGAACAATAAGGATGGTCAATGTTTGGTAAGCAGTCATTATCTACTTTAAACAATCTGGTTATCGACTTAATCAATTTCATTATGGTTAAACCTAAAACGTATGTGTCGCTTATGCCTTCGAGATGCCACAAATCTCATTCAAAGATGAGTAAATTGTTACGAGGTATAATGAATTCAGCTTTCAGCGGATTGATCCAATGAACAAAACTTCAACAAAGCAACCCATTGAACATTAAAATCAGACCTAATCGATGTATAAGCATTCAGCACCAAACAATACTCGAGAAAAAGAAACATAAAATTGAGGGTACCATTCAACGTTGAGTGCAGAAAAAGAGCAACATCCATAATTGATAGCGATTTTTGAAGTAAAACAAAAAAGGGATCGTCAGAACCCCAATAGGTACTCCAACTGTTTGTTGTTCTAAGATAGTCGAATAAAATAAATATCCAAAAAAAAGCAAGATTCAGAAACAGATCCAACTCTAACCCCTCCTTTAAGCTTGTTGATCAAATGACCAAGTTACACAAACAAGTTGGGCCTTGATGCCTTGTATGTAGTCTTCAACTTCCTGGAAGGTGGCCTCACTTTCCTGAACACCAATGGGAACTTGATCTTGGAGTTGTGGAATTGCTTGGTGCTTTCCCTCTTGCAAAGTTTGGCCGGGATGGTAGCAGTCTTGATGATCTGGATACAAGGAAACCTGACCCTGTGGCGAGATGCCATCTCAATGTACATCTGCTCCACAGCTCCGTTGAGGGTTGTGTCACGGTACTCCTTGTACATGTTGTGATAACCTGTCCTGCTTTGATACCGCAACCAAATACCATAGTTCTTGATAGTAGTTGGGTTCTTCTCAAATATCTGCAAGCAATTTCAAACAAATTGTTTATCACCAAAAACCCAAAAAACAACGATCATCCAAATTCTAGCATATGAAACATCATGTCAAAAATGGAACACACTACAAAATGTGGATAATTGAATTGAACAAATAAATCAACGGGCAGGCAAAAGTGCCTTGCAAAAAGCCAAGGGCAGCCCTTCTCACATTCAAATGCTAGTCCATACAAAATAACAAATGAATTGAAAAAGTAATACACCAAATAACAATCAAAACGTCTGTTATCCTAAATACATGTACAACTGCTGCACTAAACATAATGTACAGACGCTAGCCAGGGATATGAGGTAACAGCATTAACAGCGACGAAAAATAGCGAAATAAACAGCTCAAGTTCCTCGAATAATAATGCCCAGACATATAAAACATGAAATTGGATTTTATAAAAACAAAAGAAAGAAGATAAACACAGAAATTATAACACAGTGAGCAAGTGTATAACATATATAGTGAGCCCACATTTCACCACCGCAAAACAACATTTACTACAGAAGAGACCAACAAATAATCAAATTAGGACAAAATTTATTAAATAGATTAAATAAAGCATAAGCGGCAAAGAGAACAAACCTCATTAATGGCAAGCACTTGGCCATTGCTCTTCTTGACCTTCTTCAGCTTCCTCAGGAAATACCTAATCCAAACAAACCAACCAACAATATTAAGTTTAATCCAAAATTCAACTATGAACATTTGGGATCACAAAAGCTGAGCTCAGGCTAAAGCTTATACCAGAACTTCGACTTGGCGCGAACCTCATTGGTGGCCCAGAGCTTCATTCGGTAAATCTTGGGGTGTTCATCAGATGCCGTAGGGAGCTTCCTCCCAACAACCTGGTACTGGTGGAACTGCAACACAAAGGCGACACCGTTAATTGCAGCTCAAAACCCTAATCTCCAACACAAAACCTTCATTTCTGAAAAGAGAGGAGAGATCTGAGAATAACGTATGCAGGCTTACCTTGAAAGTACCCATGTCTGAGAATTAGAGAAGACGACTACGATCTCTGAGGCCTCTCTCTGTGTGTGTCTCTCTCTCGCGCTCTAATATGAGAAGCGCAGACTAGGGTTTTTGTTTTGTTTATATATGAGGAGGAAACCCTAGTTTATGAAAGAGGTGATTTTGGGCTTTCTTGAAGGCCTTAAAACTCGCGATCAAAGTTATTTAGGCTTCGTACGCGTAAGGCCCGTTTTCTCTGCGAGTTTGGTTTAGGGCACGTTGCCATATGCAGACAAAACAAGTTAAAATGTGCCTAATCTGGGTCCAAAGCTCTACCTCCTCATACTACTCATAGTAATTTCTTGATTAAAAAAACAGTTCAGAATAATTTAAAATATCGCTTTGTCAAAAATAAAAATTAATAAGTATAAACATAGAAAATTTTAGTCATATGAACTCGGGATATATTTCAACACTGAGAAGAGAAGTACGTGTTCTGTGAACAGCTAGGTATAATTATCGGCATTGTCTTTCCGAAGCCGGTTTGAAGGATATCCGCAAGTCCACATTTCCCCCCTTCTTTTTTTAATAAGGCCTTGGCAATCTGGAGTTATCAAAACATGATTTAATGAATCGGATTACAGCAGATTATTACATACAAACATTACTTCCCCTTGTATTAATTTTACTTTCCAGCTACTATAAGTAATGGATATACTGTTGCTAGGAATGCATTGCTTGCAAATTATGTGAGAATAGAAAACCATATGAATAGATACAAACACATAATATACTCTGTCAAATACATGTACAAACAAGACAACCCAACATTGATAATTGACAATAGGCTATAGCCATCTAACTGCTCCTTTGAATGAATGCTGGGTACAAGCACAGGTTCATTGTTCGCAAGTCCATATTTAACCTCACCAGGTGCGAGCTCCATTCGTTGCGCCAAGAGTAACAGCAATCACAACAAGAATTGACTGAAAATGCAAAACCATAATTCCATGAGAGCACAGCCAAGCCAATGTATAACCTTACTTCTTAGCAACCAAAAACATAATTCTGCTGGCGGAGTTATCCAAGATTGCAGGTCTTGCTATGAGAACATACAAGTTGATGCATGAATTAATGGTGAATGAGTCAAGTTCTCTAAATCCTTTCAGGATATCCAAAAGGACAAGAATCAGTATCATCAAATCAGAGTCTTTCACGGTTTCTATTTATCTAGTTTATTTAAAAGCATTCATGATGCCTGTCAGTACAGAGCATAAAATTAATATAAACATCATGTTCTTATCCAACATTCCAACTTTCGATAATATGCCAAACTCAGAAAAGTCATGAAGCTTATCCAAGAGTTCCCACTATGTGAATAAAATATTAACAAGAACTACATATGTATAATGCAACTGTATCATTGGTTGAAAATTTAAGGAACATTAAGTGATCACCATTTCGTGAACATAAAAATGTTCATATGTGGAAATTGAAACAACCAAAAGAAAAGCATGTAGATATTATTCTGAGAAAACAAAAAAGCATAGAAAATTACATGGAAGGAGCACTTACAGCTATTGTGCATGCTACATATCCAGGTTTTTCTCTGTAGTCCACCCGCACACAAAGCAAGATGAAAGTTCCAACATACCAGGGGATGCCTCCAAGAAAGAACCCAATTATAAACCTTCAGAAAAAATCAAAGTGTAATCTATCAGCAGCAGCCAGCCAGAAGAAAACTCATGGAATTATGTTTTGAAGTCGAGGATTGAAAATATAATAAAAGATTATCTACAAGGTTTTCTCTTGTTACGATCCTATGATGAATTTCAGAGCTAGCATAACTCAATAAATTTTAAATTTGTAACTTGTTCAAGAAATTATCATCCCATTATAAGCTGCTTGCTGTAAGCACATATTGCATCCAACTATGTAAACTACTTAGGCACCAGTGGCAAGCACCAAGCTGCCTTAGCCAAAGCGGTACAGGTTGGTCGTGTCTCAGAACTGACAACTGGAAAACCAATGATCCATAAGCAAAACTTCTAAAAATCAGAATGCAATGGTATAATTGGCAGAAAATATAGCTAGTCGAAATTCTCAAGGCTTATTTGGGAAAGGAAAGGATATCCTGTCTTATCAAAACACAAAATCAACAATTTCAAAAAGGTATTATAGTTGGACTACTTCATGTTTATAAGCCTGTACCTACCATAACTTGTACAAGACACATGATGTTCAGCATAAAAAAAACCAGCCTATTACATCTTCCTTTTGATCCCCCTAGCTCTCTCTTTTAATTCTTGACTAACCCTTTTCATAATTAATATGTTTTGTAAGAACTTTATGCATATCAGTATATGCAGCGGATCAAAGTTACTCAAGGTATCCTTTACATGCCCACATGCATTAAGCTACACCTACATGCTCAAGTTTTTCTACTTAAGGTATAGCTCAATGCCCTAAAACACAAAAACACACAAATAAATGAAGAAAGAACAAAAGTAAAATGAAGATTGAATTCGATTGAATCAACTTACAATAACCAGCCGATGCCCATACCACAGCAAGGAAGGCGGCGTTCCCGCACAGGTCTTCCCTCAACAACAGCATAACCTTCAAGCCCCATGAACCCACATCAAGAAAATAACAAAAATCCAAGAATTTTAAATATATATATATATAAAATCATGAGCATGGAAAAGAAACGCGTTATCGAAAGTTTACCAGTGACCGTTTGGTATCCACGATGGTGATGATGATGATGATGATGCTGGTGATGGGGAGGCAAGGGAGGGCGGCCAGTGGAACCGGGAGGAGGAACCGGCTGAGGGAAACCGACGACCGGCTCAGGCGGTGGCGGAGGAACCGTAGGGTAGTAATTGGCGACGCCTTGGAAGGTGCCGTAGTACTGCTGGCTCTGCTGGTCGCCCGCGAGTCCTCTGGTCTTAGAATCGTCGCTCATTTTCGATCCGATTTGAGTTTTGGGGGAAGAGGGAGGGTTTTCAATCAGCAACAGATTGTTGGGCAATGGTTTCAATTTCGTGGATAGCTAACTCTGCTGCCGGCTTTGGCAGCCTGGCAGTTTTGGTAATTTTTCATTTTGCTGGACTTTGGATTTCTATTGTCCATTTTTGGGCTCATCAATTTTGGGCCATCCAACCACAGTCTGATAAAAGTCATGTGGACCAGAAAAGTCGTCATCTTGGTAAGACCTGAAGCTTAAGCAATCTCCACATGATTGTCATTTTCAGTGGCCCAAGTGTAAATCAAGGTAGTAGACCTTTTGATGGGTATAGATAGATGGATAACAATTTGACGTGAGTGCAAAACAAAGGCAAGTACCTTAGGACCCGTTTGATAATTATTTCAATTTTAGTTTATATTTTTCATTTTTTTGTGATAGAATATAAAGGAAAATGAGAGAAAAACGGGAGTGAGGATGAGATTGAGAGAGAGGATTAGAGGAATGAGTAATAAAAGTGAAAATAAAAATTTGAAAGTGAAAACAATTTGAAATTGATTTTAGTTTTTACTTTTGTTATTTCTCCCTCTCCCTCTCATCCTCTCCTCTCATTTTCCCTCTCAATCTCATCTCCACTCTCATTCCCACTTTCCTTTCTCCTCCTTTTTCCTCTATACTCTAGCACAAAAAGTGAAAAATAAAAACTAAAATTGAAATGGTTATCAAACGGGCCCATCAATGTTAGATACTCACGAATGGCATACGTGGGTTAAACCAGTTTGTCAGAATGGTGAGCCCGTCTCTTTACACTAAAGTTTAAATTATTGTTCTCATAAATTAGTTTATGGCATGTTTACTAATCCGTAATTGGATTAGGAGGAATTAAATTGAGGATGAATTGAATTTAGGAGGAGTTGGATTGAGGAGAATTAGATTCTAGATTCTTATTGAAGTTGTTTACTAAACCATATGGATCGAGGGGAGTTAGATTCCGGATTTCTATTGAAATTGTTTATTAAACCATATGGAATTGGGGTAGGAGTGGTACTAACTACTAAAATGTCCTTATTGTTTGATTAAAGTATCCTACTACTCGCTGCATCTTGAATCGCTGTTTGCGTATGGAGAACGAAGTGGATGATGCGGATCAGCTCACCATCCATCTTGAAAACAGCCTGGACTTAGCTGAAGACAGGCGCAGCGTAACTCTTGCCGGCTTCCTCATCTCTGAGAAAGAACCTCAGATCGGTGGAGTGAAGATTGCCCTCCGTCGTGAGTGGCGAAACATCGTACAATCGGAAGATGTAAAGATTGCATGGGCTAGTCCCAATGTATATATTATCACGGTTGCATCTGTTGTGGTGGCTAAGAAGCTAATGGAGAAAGGTCCCTGGCACGTCCACGACGACGTCTTCTCCATCCAGCCATGGTCAAGTAACTGTGCACTAGCTGAAATCCACCCAAACAAAGCAACTTATTGGATACAAGCACATGGGATCCCCCTTGGTTTGATGACAGGGAGAAATGCTCGACTGATAGGAGGGAGAATTGGCACTGTTATCAGTATTGAGGATCCTGTCATTAATGGAACTAGGAGCTTTCTACGGATGAGAATCGAGATCGACTCGACAAAACCCCTTCAACTTGGGTTTTGGCTACCCAGGACGAATGGAGAAAGAACCTGGATCAATCTGAGATATGAGGGTTTGCGGCGATTTTGCTTCCGATGCGGCAGACTTGGCCATGCAAACCTATTGAGCAAACCATGTGTTCATACTCTATGTTCGGTTGTTACTCGGGAGGAGCTGAAGTACGGAGTGGGGTTGGCGGTGAGAACCACTCGGGGGCCTTCTCCTCTCTTTTCTGGAAAATACTCTCGTAATTCAAAATCTTCTCTGTTGGTAACGGAGGAATTATCGGGGAAGCGGAGTGTGGCGGATGACGACTACGGCAATCTGGACCCCGGTTCGCGGCAGTCGGCTGATGCTCTCCGACAGGGATTCGACAATGCCAACCATGCGCAGTGGGATGGGGGACAACACGCTGTTACGGTTCCCAATGAAGTGATGGGCTTACATCCTACTGTGCCAGATTTTTATTCTAAATCAAAGGCCATTATGACACCTGCCTTTTCCCTTAGTGCTCCAGTAAAAGGACAAGGAGGGGAGGCACTAGGCGCGATACCAACTGAAAATAATATTGAGTCTCACAACAACAATGCTTTTTTGGCCCCCACACCTTCTTTGGCTTGGGTCAATAAAGACCTTACCCATGATGTTGTGTCTGAGAATATTCATGTGGCTGTTGGGGAAGGTGTCGCACTCAACAAACTGGCATCCTTGAATACTGAACCTAATCCCACTTGTGTCACGAACCAACTTGCACAATTGAAAGGTGGAAAGAAGAAATTCTTTTTTAATGGTGGTACCCCCCCTTGGATAGCATGGGGTGGCTCTCTAAGGCTGGCTAGATTCACTAAAGTGGCGGGCAAAATTAGGATGCAGAACACTTTTCCTAGAGTGAAAACTTACAGGAAGCAAAAGTTGGGAAATATTGAGGAGGAGGAACTCCGGGATGTTTGTATCAATGCCTCAGAGGAGATGCATGAGGCGGATAGACGACTGGGAAGTTTGGGTTCGGAGGATCTATCCCACCTCCAAGGTTGTGGTGGCTGGCCTAACACAGCTACACGAAAGTCATGATACAACTGATATGGAACTGTCAAGGGTTGGGGACTGCCTTGACAGTTCAGATTTTGAGGGGGATGATTCACTCCCACAATCCCTCTGTGGTTTTCTTGATGGAGACCAAGCAGAATTGCCACAGAATGAATCAACTACGCATGAGGTTGGGGTATCAGCAAGGGTTTAATGTGGACCCTATTGGTTTGGCAGGGGGTCTTAGCTTATGGTGGAAACCAAATGTCTCTGTTCAAATTATCTCTGCATCAAAAAACCTGATTGATACTGCAATATTGGGTGATCAAACAGGAATCCAAATGCGATGCTCCTATTTCTATGGCCCTCCTTACAGGGAGGAAAAAGAGTCTTTTTGGTTTGGAGTCTCAAACCTGGGGGTTGATGTCAGTGTGCCATGGGTGTGTGTTGGTGATTTTAACGAAATGATATGGCACCATGAAAAGCTAGGTGGTGCTCCTTGGTGCAACTCTCGTGTCAGATATCTCAGAAATTTTCTAAATGATCATGAGCTTATTGATCTTGGTCATGTGGGTCAAAATTTTACATGGGCAAGAGTGGACGACGGGGTTATCTCCATTCAGGAAAGACTTGATCGCGCTCTTGTCAACACAAATTGGATGGATTTTTGGCCAAATTCGAGGGTGGTCCACATGCCCAAAGTGGGATCCGACCACTGCCCCCTTATTTTTGAATGCGTTCCACCTTCCAATTGTGCTCGCCGACTTTTCAAGTTTGAATTAGCTTGGGCTGAAAACCCTGAATGCGTGGAGATTGTTAGTGGGGGCTGGCGTGAGGGACGGGGTCGGTCACTGGCAAATAGGTGGCGCTCTAGTTTAAACTCTTGTAGACGGCATTTGATTGCCTGGAGCAAATCCAATTTCCCAAACAATAAAAAAGTTATTTGTAGTCTGATGAGGGAGATCGATTTAATCCAACAGATCGACCCACTGAATTTGGAGCAGGAAAAAGATTTAATTTGCCGTCTTTCGGAAGCGTGGAAGAGATAAGACTCTTATTGGAAGCAGAGGTCACGTATCCTGTGTTTAAACGATGGCGATCGCAATACCAAATTTTTCCATACATCTACGACTATTAGACGTAATCGCAACCGCATTACTAGAATTTTGGGTGATGATGGCACTTTGTACGAAAAACAAGAAGATGTTGAAAGAGTTTTCAGGGACTACTTTTTAAAGCTATTTGCCTCCGATGGCAGCCGTACATGGAATGGTGTTTTGGATTGTATTCATCCTATTGTTGATGATGACTGGAACCGTGATCTATGTAGACCTATCGAGTATGATGAGGTTAAAGACGCAGTTGTCCAACTTGGCTCTCTCAAAGCCCCTGGTCCCGATGGGTTTCCGGGCCTTTTCTATCAGAAGTTCTGGGAGGAGGTCAAAGACGTCATTGTGGGTACTGCAATGAGTTACTCTGAAAGCTGGGAGGCTGTACATGATTTTAACCATACAAATATTGCTATAATCCCAAAAGTTCGGGACCCGGAGCTTCCATCTCAGTACCGACCTATTAGCCTCTGTAATAATGCTTACAAAATCCTTTCGAAGATCCTGGCAAATCGTCTAAAGGTTGTTCTTCCTCATCTCATATCCCATCAACAGAATGCATTCATACCGGGGAGACAAATCCAGGATAACATCCTTGTTGCTCATGAGGTTTTTCACTATCTCCGTCTAAAGCGGAGGGGTAAGGTGGGAGAACTTGGGCTAAAACTGGATATGGAAAAAGCCTATGATCGTGTTGAGTGGGATTTTCTTGAAGCCACAATGAAAAAATTGGGTTTCCGGAACTGTTGGATTAATATGGTCATGAGATGTGTAACTTCGGTGTCTTTCTCTGTGGTTATTAATGGCAAACCGGGTCGTTCCTTTGTTCCCTCACGTGGTCTTCGTCAAGGGGATCCACTTTCTCCCTACCTTTTCATTTTGATCAGTGAGGTTCTCTCTCGTAATGTGGAGGATGCCGTGAGACGTGGCTGTCTGCATGGGGTACGTCTCTGTCGGAGCGGCCCAACTATATCCCACCTTTTATTTGCCGATGATTCTCTTTTCTTCATCCAGGCTACAACTCAAAACTGTAGTGTTTTAAAAAAGATTGTCGATGACTACTGTTTGGCGTCTGGCCAAAAGCTCAATACGGATAAATCGTCCTTATACTTTAGCCCAAATGTCACTGACTCTCTTGCGGGGGAAATCTGCTTCACATTGGGGATGTCTTCTACTCTTGACCCTGGCTCTTATCTGGGTCTGCCATCAATTTGGGGGAGATCAAAAACCGCTGCCCTAAACTTCATTGTCGATCGCATACAGAAGAGAGTTCAAGGATGGAAATCACAGCTATTAAATCCTGCCGGCAAGGAGGTCTTGATAAAGGCCGTGGCTTTGGCAGTGCCAACGTACCCGATGTCTTGTTTTCGATTCCCCGCAACCACTTGCAAACAATTTAATGGTATTCTTAGTAATTTCTGGTGGAGTAATGGTGACACCAAAGCTCATATTCACTGGAAGAGATGGGAGCTTTTATGTCTTTCAAAGGACAAGGGTGGCTTGGGTTTTAGAGATCTTGAGAATTTTAATCTTTCTCTCCTGGCTAAACAGTGTTGGCGTATTTGGCATAATCCTGATGCTTTCTGGGTTTGTGTCTTGAGAGCCAAGTATTTCCCTGATGGTGATTTCCTTAAAGCAAGAAGGGGGCCTTGTCCTTCTTGGGCATGGGCTAGCTTACTGGATGGTCGTAAGATTATGTCTGATGGTGCCATATGGCAGATTGGCAATGGGTTGAAAGTGAAGATATGGAGCGATAACTGGCTGCACCACAACTCCATCCTACGCCCAAAACCAATCATCACCGACTCCGGCTCTATACCAACTTTCGTGAATGAACTCATTGATCGGGACCTGAGAGATTGGAATTTGGCAGGCATCTCAAATGTTATTGAGCCCTCTGTGGCAAAATTAATCCGTGCCATTCCTCTCTGTAATCTTACTCGCGAGGATTCTCTGATTTGGCCTTGGAATAAGGATGGAACTTTTTCTGTTCGTAGTGGTTACCATTGGGCTATGGATAATTTGGTGGCAGTGTGCACTGTGCCGGATCATCACTCCCACCAAATTGATAAAAAGTTATGGAATACAATTTGGAGCATGAAAGTCCTCCCAAAGATCAAACTTTTCTTTTGGAGGGCTATGACCAATTCCCTGCCGACTCTAAAAAACCTGTTTCATCGCAGAGCTAGGACCTCTCCGGGGTGTACTCTTTGCAATTCGGGGGACGAGTCAGCTGAACATGCGATTCTTTTGTGTCCTTGGAGTGCTTGTGTTTGGTTTGGGATCCCCTTAAACTACTGTGTAAATGTCCAAAGCGTGACTTCTCTTGACAGATGGCTTTTGGGAGTTACTGATTTTTTGGATCTGTGTGAAGGAAGGAAAAAGGTGACTCTTGCTTTGGTGGGTATCACATGTTGGGAGATTTGGAAAGAAAGATGCTCTGCTCTTTTTGAAAGTCGTTCCCCTTGTCCCCACTCTGTTATCCGAAGAGTTATTTCCTTATGGGGAGAACTTTGTCCATCCCCTGGTGTTACTGCTAGTTCCACTCCCCCTGTTTCTCCCCCCCATGCTCTCTGGAGGGCTCCTCCCCTTCCATATGTTAAGGTTAATGTGGATGGAGCTTGGAAAAAGGAATCACTGCAGGGTGGTATGGGTTGTTGTTTACGTGACTCTGAGGGCAGAATGTTGGCTGGTATGAGTAAAGCTACTCTCCGGAACTCTGCAGTTGAAGTGGAAGCGGAAGCTGTTTTGGAAGGACTAATATTGGCCAAAGAGAAAAACTGTCAGAAAATCATTCTTGAAAGCGATTCCATGGATGTTGTCTCTTGTATGAGAAACGAAAATCTGCGCGGCAACTGGAGAATCATCCCACTTATCTTGGAGATCAGGAGGCTCTCTTCATGGTTTACCTCGGTCAAATGGGAATGGGTATCTCGCCAAGCAAATCAAGCTGCGCATGCTGCTGCAGCACTATCAAACATGAGGGTGCGAACTATGCGTTGGGCTTCACAGCCTCCTCCCTCATTGGTTCAGGTATTGGCAAAGGATGGTTTGCCTTGCCCCCCTAGTATTTAATTTTGATTATATGGTAGGATTACTACTTGTATTTCCAGGTTTTGTCTCCTGGGAGGTATCTTTGGCCTCCTTGTGAATTGTTTGTCATGTTCTGGGGTTCTCCCCTGTCCCTGTACTTTTCTTTCTTGCACGTCCTGGTTGGTGTTGCTTGAGCCATCTTTGGCTTTCTCAATGAAGTATTATTAAGACCAAAAAAAAAAAAAAAAATACATAACAAATTTGGAATTTTGAAAATTGTGTGAGGATATAATGGGTAGAAAAGATGAATTCCTAATAGATTAGTTCTCCAGGAATTAGAATACCACCTCTCACTCAAAATTCCTGATTTTGTGTGAGCCCCACTTACTTTTCAATTCCTTGATGTGAAGTAAACGCAGGAATCATCCACAGGTGGAATACAATTCCTGATAAGAATTTCAATTCTTAATTAGTAAACACACCATTAAAGTAATTTAAAATATCATTAGCCAATTGGCCCATTGAATTGTACCGATCGCCCGTTTACTCACATCCTACAAAGATCCAACACCATTTATCCAATACCGAAGAGAACTTCATCAGTGTGCAATTGCCCTTTTCGCCCAATTAATGTACACAAATGTGGTTAAAATGACATCTATCATTCATTTATGGCAACCCAAAAGAAAAAACATGCAATTAACTTTATGAGCAAGCAATGATTCGCTTGTCAAAACATCACATCAATCAAATCAATGTATTGTCAAAACTGAGGATGCAATATAATCCACAATCCAAATTATCAATGTGGGACTTATAATCAAGGTCTAAAATATCGGTGGTATCGGAAATATCGGAAGTCCAAAAACACGAAAATATCGATGGAAATATCGGGATATTATCGGTATCGGTAAAAATTGAATAAAAACCACGGAAATTGTAAGAAAAACTTGGAAATTTTTATTGAAACTTTGCAGGATGTTTATTTAGTCGATTATCTATTAGTTTATCACAAAAAATTGGAAGGAAATGCATTGCATGATGGATTTAACTGATTTAAGTTGATTATATAGCGAGCTGGCAAACACTGTAAGTGTAGAAAATATGTAGTAATTAATGAAAGAAGATTAAACACACCATAATCATTTATATATAATGAATTACTACAATATTTTACACTTTATACATTGCATGGTAAGATACATGAGTGACTTAGTACCACATAGAGTTCCTATGAGGTTCAAAATTTTCACTATCTTCATCATCTCTATGTGTAGAGTAAGTATATTGTGAAGAGTAGTCATCAAATGATAAATCCCCAAAATAGTTTTGCATGTAATTGTTTCTCATCTCATGTAATCCCCAAAAGGAATGGTCAAAGATTCATTCTCATCTCATGTGAAAATTTGTTTCTTGCAAAAAGAATTCAAAACAAAACCATGTATATATATAAATATTTTAGCATATTTTCACAAAAAACATAAGTGATATGGTGGTTAAGGTGTTGAAGGAGTAAAATGGGAGGGGTTCGAATCCCTCTATGCGCAATAGGGGAGGGCTTTTCAAAAAAATTCATGTATTTTTTGGGTTTCGTATCGGGATATTATTAATAATATCTCGATATATTGCCCAAATCATTCATAAAAATGTTGAAGTTATCTCCCCGATATTATCGGGATAATATCGATATTTAATACCTTGCTTATAATGAACGCCATAATTGAATCCCATACGAATACATATACTACCTCTTTTATCCAAATTGCATGGAAATGATTCACTAACTAACAACTGAAATGCCCAAAGGTGATCTTGAAAGTTGTCAAATAGTGGCATATAAGCTTGATGCAGCACAAGCAAATAGATTTTCAAGTGAAAACCCTAAAGAACAATAATCTAGAATCCACCAAGAAATTAGAGAGAAATTCTCCTTGAATTATTTCATAAAAGTTGAGATCAGTTCAAATAAGCATGATGGCTAACTAAATACAACGTTCTCACCCATTGGACTGCCTTGGGGAGTTATTGAAAACTTAACAGAAAATAAACGGAAACTCTGTAAATTAAATACAATCTTTAAATGCACTTTTGGAAGACCAAACGACCTCAGAAGCCCAAAATCCACCATATGCAGTGACAGGAGAAGAAGACAAAGCAAAAACAAAAAATAAAAAAGTGTGGGAAATTTAAAAAGGCAACTGTCAACTGTCTTTTCCCATCTACGAGAAAATTGGCTTTTCCAAAGTGAAGTGCGTTACAAAGTTACATCAAAACCAAACGAAATTTAAAAAGGCAACTGTCAACTGTTATTATCAGGTACATTAAAGAAGGAAGCACATTTAGTGTAATGAGACTTCTCCAAAGAAATGATAATGTATTAGGAGTGCATCAAGTTTTAATCATATCACATTATTGTTAGGTCTCCTCTAATTATGGGATTATCATAAATTTCATTTTTTTGGGTTTTGACTTTTTTAGTGTGATCATCATTAGAATAGGAAAATATCTTTTTGATATTATTCAATTTGTGCAAATCAAGTAATTTGGTTTTGACTAGGAAACATATCTTTGTTTTTTTGGTTAGCCTTCAATGAAATTGCTTGTGTTTTGGACATGGATTTTTCTTCCTAGAGAAGAAAAAGTTATATAAAATAAGGCTTGATGTTTTTCTTCTTGTATAGCTTTTGAACAATAATTTTGCTTGCTTAAACGTTTAAGAAAGCTGCGTTTTTATTTGAGATAAATCATCAATCTGCCCAGAGTCGTAAGAAGTTTGACTTGACCTTATACAATATTTTTTTTGGACAAAGGCCTTATACAGTTTGTGACCGTGTTCAAAATAAACACGCATTATCATGTTTTTACGAAAACATAAACTACTCAGCATTTTTACAGTGATATGAAAACCACGTTATTGAGTCAATTTAAATATTATAATATAGGTCGAAGATATAGTATTAATAAATAAATATACGTGTATTATGTTACGAATAAATTGAACACCGACAAGTTAAAATATAATATTAATACATTAATGTACATATTAAGCTATGAATAAATTGATAATAACGGAAAGTTAAGATGAAATCTTGTCAAGCTTTGACATTGAAAGGAAAAATAAAAGTCTTTGTCAAACTTGTCTTCCTGCACAATGTGCCAACTATCACACTTGCATCTGCATGGGCATCCAATCAGCCAATCACAATTCATAACCAGAAAAACACCCATAAAATAATATTAAAAATAGGGGAATGCTAGCAACCTTCTCTCCAACCTTCTCCTTTGGACCTTCTCCTCTTACCTCATGACATGTGTCCCTTTCTTTACACTTAAAACAATGTAATTAATGCATTAAACAAGCTTTCGTCCAAAAAAAAAAAGCATTAAACAAGCTATCATTTGTTTTCCAAATTTACCCTTATTAAATATATTGATTTTAATGTTTCCTTTAATTTATCCAAATTTTTTACAAACTTCTTACCACCTTGTTAAAAATTAATTAAGAAAAAACGTTTTTAAAAAAAAGACTCTAACGGGACATTCAAATAAAACTTAAAATTTAAATAAGAAAAAATGTTAGTTTTATTTTTTTGTTTTTTGAAAGACTCAAAAGGGAGTAAGGAGAGACATTGGTTTAAATTGAAAATTTGGTATGCCTGAATTTTAGGATTTTTTTTTCTTTGAAATAATCAAACTCCAAAGGCAGTAAGGGATATAAATAAAACTATGAACTTCCCTTCGAATATGATTATTTGTGTTTTTTAATAAATATTTTTAGTTGTTACTGAAAATGCTCTTTAACTTTATTTAGTAGTTTAAAAAAATACAATTAATGAACTTCCTTTTGAAGGAAGTCTTTTTTCTTTCTAAAAATGTGATCTTTCTACTAAGTGTTTTTTTTAGGTCATTTTTTTGTGTTTAAAAAAATAGAAGTTTTATTTATGAAAAAAAATAGACATTTTTCTTTTTTTAAAACTGACTTTTTAATTATTTAATTTTTTACATATGGTAAGAGAGTTGTAAAATTATTTTTGAACAAATTGAAGGACAACATTTAATAAGGGTAAACTTGGAAAAAAATGTTAGCTTGTTTGATGCATTAGTTACATTGTTTTAAGTGTAAGGAAATGGACACATGTCATGAGGAAAGGGGAGAAGGTCCAAAGGAGAAGGTTGGAGAGAAGGTTGCTAGCATTCCCCTTAAAAATAAACCTTAAAACGAACAAATTAGAAAGCAACGAAAACGAGGGTACTTTCGACTTTTGAATCACGGTAAAGACAGGGAAGGGAATCTTGTGCACCGTTGGGACAAGAAAACCTTGCAATCGTCTTTGGGGCAGATGGTGGGGACAAACTTGATGTCATCGCAGCCTTCCGTCCTGTGCCTCTTGAAATCAATCAACGTACAGAACATGGCAATGAAGAGGACGAGATGATTCAAAGCGTACCTCTGGCCCACACACTGGTGGGCCCCAGCCCCAAACGCCAAGTAATTCCTCTTGTAAATCCGGTCCTCCTGCCTCTCGTCGGAAAATCGGTCCGGGTCGAAGCGCTCCGGATCAGTGAATCCCTGAAAGCATGACTCGTAAGCCGAGGGGAACACAATGGTGCCCTTCGGGATCGTGTACGTCTCGGTCAATGGAAAGTCAACTGCGGCAATGTGCGGGACCATAGTTGCCGGAGCTCTGTACCTCACGACCTCACGCCCCACCGCGTACGTGTACTTCATTCGCGAGAGCTGCTCCGCTGTGATCAGACTGTCCGACTCCAGCGACCAAATTTCGGAGACCTCGTCCCGAACCTTCGCCAAAACCTCCGGGTGCGAGTCGAGTAACGTCACCGCCCATAGTAACGAAGACGTGGAAGCGTCCTGCGCTACAAAGAGGAAGTCGAAGAGGTGCGCCCCTATCTCGACTTCACTGATGACCACCGGTTCTAGGGAACCGGCCTGAGCTGCATTTCGGAGCTCCTGAACCGTTTCGTGCATCCAGAAGTCGATGAGACAAGTAGGCTTGGCATTTGCAATCTCCATTCTGGCCTTG